GAATTTTTATACTCTACCGGGAATATCCCCGGAACGTATTAAATATTGATCTTTGTCCGTGAACGTGAATGATTTGTGCAACCGGAAATTCGGTGTACCCTCCATGTGAAGTGTTACTTAAATTCTGGGGTGTTTTGTGCCAAAGTGACTAGAGTAGATTAATTATTAATTACTGTGGCTTCCGTGGCAGTCACTGCAGAATTCTTCGATTCGTTCTTTTTTTAACACTCTATCTACTATCTTAATTCACGTTAATTTCAATTTCACAGAGCCCTAAAAATACTAAAATATAAATTTCACAAAAGTTCCAGGAATAATAGTTTACATTAACATAATAAAGCTTCTATCTTTAACTTATTTTATTTTTTTTAACACTCTATCTACTATCTTAATTCACGTTAATTTCAATTTCACAGAGCCCTAAAAATACTAAAATTTAAATTTCACAAAAGTTCCAGGAATAATAGTTTACATAAACATAATAAAGCTTCTATCTTTAACTTATTTTATTTGTTTTAATACTCTCTCTACTATCTTAATTCACGTTAATTTCAATTTCACAGAGCCCTAAAAATACTAAAATATAAATTTCACAAAATTTCAAAGAATAATAGTTCACATTAACGTAATAGAGCTTCCACCTTTAACAAAATCATTTTTTAAATACCCTGTCTACTATCTCAGTTCGCATTAATTTTAATCTCACAGATAAATAAATACAGTTACTAAAAAAAAATGTGCATTAAAAATACTGAAATGTAAATTTCACAGACCGACAGCTCACATAAATTTAACAAAGCTCCCATCTTCAACTTTCACTCAAAATCACTATATTAAACAGTTGGACAAAAATGTTACAACAGAAAAAATTGCAAACTACATACCCCTTTTGCTATTTCGCAGTCGAAGCAGTTTTTCCCAAACAACGTGAAATATCAGAAATATTGTCACGACTATCTCTGCCACGCTATAGCAGAGATACAACTGCAAATGGACGCTGCTCAATCCCCTCAATCACAACTTAATCCTCCTAAGCATTAGCTGGCGTGCAACGTGCTGTAACGATACACTGAATACGTTGTAACAGTAAAATAACACACCAAACTTGGTACATTTACAAACCCTTGGAATATACGTGATATCAGTGAATTGTATATATCCCACGTGCGAAGTACGTGTGCTTGACAAGCCCCGCTATGATCCTTGTAACGTTACGCCTCACGATGAGACAATGTGGGACCGTACGAAAATTCCAATAACAAGTAACATGTTTCCTTATTGTATATATCCCACGTGCGAAGTACGTGTGCTTGACAAGCCCCGCTATGATCCTTGTAACGTTCGCCTCACGATGAGACAATGTGGGACCGTACGAAAATTCCAATAACAAGTAACATGTTTCCTTGCTGTCTCCCTTTACAATCGCTGGTGAAAGAGATTTCTACGCCAATTGCAGAACTCGCAGAGGTAACTAACTTCCTTTTGCATGAACGAGCAAGTGTTTGCGCTGAAATGAACTTGATAAATTCTAGAGGTTCAAGAATTCTAGTATATGATGAGTAGATTTTGAAAATGTGTTGCTGCGAAGTGTTTCGGTGAATTTTTGTAAGATTTTCTGAAGTGAAATAGAAAGGGAAAAAAAGAATGCAATAAGAGAAGTGTCGTACTGAGAGCCGATCTCTTGGTATTGTAAATCGAGAGTTTGTTTAAGCGTTGAGTGCGATACGGGACTGCGTGAAGGCACTTGGGACATAGACCAGACGGCGGGTCATAAAAATGGGTAAATACCCATCGCCGGCGAAAACTGTGCCTGCAGTCAGTCACAGCCGAAACATAGTACGATACACACCCTCTTCTTTAACCGTAGTTTTATATATACTCGACCGCTCCGCCTTTTTGCTAAGCTTAAGATTCCTACAAGAAGAGAGTAGGTTAGATAGAATTATTAATGAGAATAATTAGGGAATAGGTAACCGAAAAGTGAGTGTCAGTGATAAGGACAAAATGGAGCATGAATGGATAAGGAGATATTATTGTAAACCAAGTTCTTTTCATAGCCATAAGGTTGAAAATAAATAAATAATAAAAATTGCAAGATTTTCTATATTTTAGAAACTTAGAAACCCTCTTTTCTCAGACTTACAGGTTCCAGATTTTAAGAGCTCATAATACTCACCTAGAGAAATAAAAAGAGCTCAATCAAGAGCTACCCAAAAAGCAGTCCTTTCGATGCAAAATTTATTTTCGTATTTACTAACGTTCT